ATATGTCTGACAATAGTGTTGGATGGGATGTGAAATATATAGGTTTACAAAAGCAAGTGCTATTAAATGATGATTTTACACTTTATAGCCTTTTAAAACTCCTATTTCAACTATAAAAACTAATTACACACTTATTTTCCTACAGATTAATCATATAAATATATCAATTTCTTTATCATATAGATTTCATCAATTTTGATACGTTGAAAAGCTTTTGTCCATAAACGATGTTGAAATTTCCTAAGCAATCCTGAGATGGCTTTATGTACATGCAGGTCTCTTCTCATCAATCACCTGGAAAACTGAGAAGCTGCAGACCAGCATCTTATTGCAAGATCATTCTCAAATATCTTCTGCTCACAAGCCGGAATACTACCATATTACAATTTCGTCTCGAGTAATAACACTGGCAATGTTCAAATATTCAAATTGGGAAAAAGAACTTACTTGCCTTATTTATAATATTCTGTGTAATCAGCCCACTACGTACAGATAAATTGCTCAGCATACAAGCCATTCACTGCACTAGGGAATTGGTTCTTGTTTCTTCTCTTCGAGACGATCGTAAATCCTTCTGCATCTTGTTTCTTGCTGCTTTTAATTCTTCCCTTCTTAAACTGCACATTGTTTGAAGATTGAGATTGCTGTCCTTTGCTTTCCCTGGGCTTGGTTTTAGCCGGAAATGACTTAGACTCGGCATCAGATGAAGAGATTAGAGTATGCTGAAATGATTTCACAACCAAGTTGAGAAGAATCTGTCGTGCAAGCTCAGTTCTTTGCAAGTTCTTGGTGTCATTTCTCCCATTATTATCTCTGATCGCTTGTTTATCAGGTTTCTCAACTTTGGTTTTCTCTTGTAAGTAAACATCTGAAGTTTCATTCTTTGCAGCACTCGTAAATTCTTGCGGCCTAGACGAAGTCTTTTCTGGATTTTGAGCTTCTTCGCAGAGAACAGCAGTTTTTCCTGTATCTGGGTGCCGATCTTTAGAAGGAACAAACTCAGCAGCATTAGGATTCATTATGCTCTGAGAGGTGCTATTTCTATTCAAAACATTGTTGTTCCAACTTGGATAACCAGCTTTCCTCCTAAAAGAATGGCCAGACCTATAGTAAATAGTGGATCTGGGACCACGAGGGACTCTAAGATCTACAGAATCAGGAGAGGGAAATTCAAAAAATTGACGTGGCACACTCTTTTGGACATTTTTTGCATTATATATGCCACTAACTGCATTTGAGTTATATGGATGAGACATTGAAAGCAGAGAGCATGGATTAAATGGAGGAGCAGAAGCTGACAGCCTGCTTCTGCTTGGCACAGCTTTCTTTGAATCAGAAAATTCCATGACTTCATCAGAACTTGTAGAAGGTTTCTCATCTAAATCTACTTCCACTACTTCATTTGAGTGGTCCTCTTTCTCACTATAATCACTAGGCGATTCTTCCAAACCCTCCTGGCATGTCCTATTTTCATCCATGATTTTCTCTACAAACTTGTTTTGCTCAAGGGAATCATTGGACCCATCCTTAACCTGAATAGAGTGCCCAGCAGCAGGCTTCAAGACAGTGCCAGGAGGTGACACGGCTACTTCTTTGTATGACGCAAACTTGGAAGCCACCGCAGCGAACCTGCTCGTACCAGAAGCCTTAAGGTGTTCTGTGCTAGCTTCTACATCAGGACTAGCCAGTTGAACCTTATTGGATTCTTCTCCCACTGAACTGGAAGCATTCCACAATTTTCCAACAGAAGAGACATCAGTAGAGCTGGCTCCATTAAAGGACTTAGAATTCGGTAATACGGTTCTCATCTTATAACCAACACTTACAGTAGAATATGACTCCGAGTTGTTTGCAGCTAACTTAGAAAGGCCGGGTCGCCTTGAACCAAATTTCTGTCGCATGTGATTAGATTTTCCTCTGAAGCTGGCTTCTTGCCACCCTTCGTCGGACGACTCTTCTGCTGATACCAGAGGAATTTCAGTATCTTCCTTTAATACTATGAATTGAGGCTCTTTGGGCTTCTCCTCATGTCTGGATGTTTCAATCTGGTCAGGATTTATCAGATTGCTCATGTGGCATCCATCATCTGGATTTGAAACTGGCTGCTCTTGATTAGGTTTGCTATTACTCTGCATCCAGAATAGACATAGTAAGAGGAACCAATTACGTGATTAGAATTTGAGAACAGTATAAACCATGGAAGATAATGAAGAATGCAAAAATAATTTGTAAAGGAAACCAACAATGCCATAAAAAAAGAATAAATTGAAAATTTTGGAGACATTATTACACTACCCATGTGAACTTGCACGGTGACGCTTGTTCAAAAAATAAATTTAAGCTACATTGGCATAATGCAGGAAGAATAGACTGGTTATGATGTGGGTTTTGTTAATATGAATCTGGCAGAATGATCAAAGCATGAGTAAATGAATCTAAGGAAATCCAGATTCTCCCTCCTCCAAATAAGAATGTGCACAAACAAATGACAGATAGTGCAC